TCCCAATGTTGTGTTTGGCAGGGCCTCCTGGCTTCAGCACTACAGCTGGTATAACTCAGGCATTTGCAAACAAATGCAGTTCTGTTTGGGCCATAACATCGCGCAAGACTTCAAGAGACGAAGGCTGTTTTACCACTGACTGTATTTGTTAAAAGGACCTGTAAATACATAGCATCTCCATCTGTCATCTGCATCTTCATCTCTTCTCCAGCTAAACAACCACACACACACACACACACACCGCAGAGCTCGCCACCCATACTTCTTTCTTCCTCCACTTCCTCCTCAGACTTCCAACCCCTAGCTCTCCTGCAGTACTGGAATACGTGCGAGTGATGCAAACACAAGCCAGATACATAATTGCAGCAGGGTCCCGCGGCCCTTTGCTGACCTGCAGGGTACGTCACACAGGATGCGGTCGTAGAAGAGGACGTCCTTCTTGCCATCTGAGTCGATCTTGAGTGTGGGGATGCAGGAGGCGTCGTGGTTGACCACCATGATGCAGGGGCTGTTGAGGCGCTTGGCTTGGTGCACAAGCAGGTAGCAGCGTTTGTTGTCCACGTCGTTGGCAATGACAAAGCCCTCTGGAGGGAAGAAGAGTGGATTAAGGTTAACTACTGTTGTGGCAGGCATATGCTGACTAAGTCCCTGAGTTACTTTGTACTGTGGAATATACAGTCCCTTCCAAAACTATTGGAACAGTGAGGCAAATTCCTTTGTTTTTGTTGTTCACTGAAGATATTTGAGTTTAAGATCAAAAGATGAGGATGAGACAAGAGTTCAGAATTTCAGCTTTTATTTCGTGGTATTCACATCTAGATGTGTTAAACAACTCAGGACATATCACCGTTTGTATTAGACCACAGCATTCTTAGGTGAACAAAAGTAAAGGAACATACATTTTTAAGGAAAATAACATTTAATATTTGGTGGCATAACCCTCGCTTCCACTTTTCCCCCCTGATGAAGTCCTTTGTTTTGTTAGCAGTGTGCTTTGGGTCATTGTCCTGCTGCATGATAAACTTCCTCACGATTAGTTTCAATGCATTTCTCCGTAAATTGGCAGACAAAATTCATTCTGCTGCTACCAACATCAATAAATATTAATGAGCCTGTTCCAGAAGCAGCCATGCACGCCTAAGCCATGACATTACCTCCACCACGCTTCACAGATGAGCTTGTATGCTTCAGATCATAATCAGATCCTTTCTTTCTCCACACATTGGCCTTTCCATCACTTTGCTAGAGATTAATCTTGGTCTCATCAGTCATTAAGATTGTGTTCCAGAACCTTTGCGGCTCATCTCTGTACCTCTCTGCAAATTTCAATCTGGCCTTCCGATTCTTCCTGCTGATGAGCGGTTTGCATCTTGTGGTGTGGCCTCTATATTTCTGCTCTCTGAGTCTTCTTCCAATAGTGGATTGTGATACCTTCACCCTGCACTGTGGAGGTCGTTGCTGATGTCATTTCCTGATGTTTTGGGGTGTTTCTTCACAGCTCTCACCATATTTCTGTCATCAACTACTGTTGTTTTCCTTGGCCGACCTGTTGAACGTCTGTTGCTCAGTACACCAGTAGTTTCTTACTTTTTCAGGACGTTCCAAATTATTGTGCTTGCTATGCCCAATGTTTTACCAATGGCTCTGGTCGATTTTCCTTCTTTTCTCAGCTTGACAATGGCTTGCTTTTCTCCCATAGACAGCTCTCTGGTCTTCATGTTGCTTTATCCTCTTTAACAGGAAATGCAGTCTTTATAGGTTTGAACCAAGGATGAAAACTTAGACTAGTCATGCCATGCAGAGCTATTTAATGTTTGAACCTAAAAGGCAACACCTGGGCAACAAGAAACATCTGTCAGTCACATTTTCAATAGTTTTGCTCACTTGAAAAATGGGTGGGTTCAAACAAAGGGTGATATGTCCTGAGTTGTTTAACACATCTAGATGTGAATACCAGGAAATGAAAGCTGAAATTCTGAACTTTTGTCTCATACTTTTGATCTTAAACCCAAATGTCTTCAGTGAACAACAAAAACAAAAGGAATTTGCCTTACCGTTCCAATACTTTTGGAGGGGACTGTAGATACTGATTTACATTCACAGATTTTCTCTGTGCATGACAATTACAATAAATGTGAAAAAATGACACCCCCAGTAAAATACAAATAAATCAGTAACTGAAGCATCTTTCCTGCTTATAAATGTGTGTTTCTAACCTGGAAACGGCACGTCCATGTCAGCATGGAGCATCTCAATCAGCTGGGCTGTCTTCGACCCTGGAGCTGCGCACATGTCCAGAATCTGTGTAGGAACACATGCATGTCAACACTTCAAAACAATATCTTTTTTGTTTAAAACCACAGGAAAAGGGTCTTACAAGGGGCCACTAGAGAGAAAAAATAAAATCAATATGAAATGCATTACACATGACAGACCTCCTGTTCTTAACCTTCAAAGAAGGAAGTGCTTTTACCTTGTGGTGGGACTCAATCTTCAGGAGGAGAGGAGGGATCATACTGACAGCTTCCTGTCGGCTGATGTTACCCTGCAAGAGAAAACAAAAACAACGCTTGTCTCTTCATTTCTCTGACGACTTCTGACATTTTGTGTTCCCCATTTTCCGAACTACCCATGCAGGGTAAAAGTGTAACACGACCAATATTCAAACATGCATTGCACATGTTCACTTCTTTAACATGCCCACGGGTGTTTCTGGTAAATGTTCTGTTTGGTTTGTGTTTGACTCACAGACTCTGTCTCGCTGACCAAAAACTGGTGGAACTTCTCCAGCAGGGGTGACTTCCTGATGATCTTCCTGCTCATGTTGGTGTGCCAGGCCTGCTCATCAGGATACCTGTAGAAGATAAACACAGTGTGTAATAAGATTGCAGTTTGAATCTCTGTGTCTTTTTAGCCTTGGGTAAACCATGTGATCGTACCAGCTCAGAGCCTGTGGAGCCTCAGTCTTCTGACCATCGATCTCCAGCTCTTGAATATCCTTAAAGTATTTTTCCTTCAGACAGTGGAGGATTTCCTTAGCATGGCTGAAATAAGACAAGGAGGAGGACAAATTGGGCATTGGTACAACAACAGACAAAAGCATACAACTTCTAAGGGAGCAGCATCTTTAGATACTTGATTACTAATTTTACAAGTAATCCAATGTCTTGATCGATGTTCTATGGGGTGCACACAATTGCCAGAAAGAAAGGGCACATTCATTTTCCAGCATTGTGCAAACAAGACAAAAGAGTCTGAATCCAGGTTATACATCTGTCAAGCTCACCTCTTGTACCCAGTGATGCGGATGGTTGCTGGCAACGGTTCCCTCATGGCCTCCATGAACTGTTCAAACTCTCCTTCAGGCACTAGGCCTAGTTCCTTGTAGTAGTGCTCAAACAGCTTATTCTCCTTGACAATGTCAGCATAGCCAGCTCCCCAGCCCTGAACACATGGTCATTAGTAGGGTCATTTATACTGAATATTTGAACAGCCTTCCTGTACAGAACTAGCTGGAAAAGTACCTAATAAATAGGGATGCTATCTTTTGTATTAAAACATTACACTAAATGTCATTCTAAATTCTGTCGATTTAATATTTTCTTGCCTATGGCAAAAGGTAAATAACTTGTAGATCATGTCATGTGACCTGTTGCATTTTAGTATTCTCCATAGGTCAATTTGGCATGTAGTAATCCGCTAATAGTACATATTTCAATAGGTTTTCGTCAACCATACTTGCTTCTTCCCTTCACGATGTTCTGATAAAAGATTATTAGACCTTTAAGAGAAAAAACAGTAACCCCTTACATGTAAAGTCACGCATTGCCACATGAAATTAACACATTTATGTGACAAGTCTGGTGAAGCCTCATACTCTCTCCAGACAACAATAAAAGGGCACCCACATATCTGGACGTTAAACGCGAGAAATGGTCGTCACACATAACTTTGAAAACAGTTTACGCTCGCTAACGTTAACAGTAAAGCTCTTTGGTGTCACAGCAGCATGACTGCACAAATTCAGTTAAAAAAAAATAAAAAAAACTCAAAATGTAACCGCGTTCGTCCAAGCCCCCCTCGCAGTTAGTAAACAGAAGTAATGTGTGGCCTGATCGAGCACTTTACACCGGAACATTAGCAAGAGTTGCTGCAGCAGAAGGGTGAATCTTACAGCGTTGTCTCTGTCGTCCCTGCCAGCAGTCTGGTTTTTCTGTCGCTGCCTGCTTCTTTTCCCCATGTTGGAGTAGCACACAACTCTGGAGAAAAGTCTGCGGAACGACGTGGTGGATGGATGCAGAGAAAAGTGACCTGCAACTCGTCAATGTACTGAGCGTTTGAAGATGGACTGCTGCGCTGTGTATCCTCGAAACGTGTTGCCTCTGACGCACGTGAATCAGGACCTCTCGAGGAGGCCTCGAAATGTGCCTGCAATAAAGGAAACATCTCAGGGGCATTTCGTGCGATAGAAACTACTTGTTTAATTTATTTCTTTTTGGTTTGTTTATTGGCTTGCCATTTTCTATAATTTATATAATCAGTGTAGAGAGCCACCAGGGAGTTGTTTACAGCGTAGGGTATGCAAATTAATGTATCAATATAGTGACGTCAGACACCACGCAAACTCGATGCAAAACGGAGCGTTTTGATTGGCTGATACGATCCATCGCTGTATGTGTTCATGGACTGTGATTGGTCCTGGATAGGAAACCCAATTGCATGTACTGTGTATGCCGTCCATAGCATAGCCTACATAGCTGGTGAGACAGCAAGTTTGTTAAATAGTTGCAAATCTTAGTTACATTTACATTGTTTCTGTTGTGACATTTACAACGTCAGCCCTCCCGCTCTGAGTGATGAACACACTGCTCTCCCGGCTCTTCTCCTCGGAGGAAGAGGAGCTGTATATTTTGGACTGCATGGCTTACTTAATGGTTTTCATGGCAGCCTGCACTTTCGTTACTTTGCTTTTCGAAAATGTCCCATACGGGCGATACGCTACCAGCAAATATGGTTTTCCAGTAAATGTCAAGTTTGCTTGGTTCGTCCAGGAGCTGCCTGCCTTCCTGGTGCCTTTGTGTCTGGTAGTTTGGACATCCTCTGGGAAAACCTCCCTACTGCCAAACCAGCTGCTCATTGCCATGTATTTCTGCCACTATATCCAGAGGTAGGCAATTACAATCAATTAAACCATGACTTTACACCTGGAGGCACTAAAATGAATGTACTTCACTAGCCTAAATACTGTAGCAAGTGGTTCCCCATGTGTACACACAGGAGGGCTGAGGAATAGCCTATATGAAATAATGATGTAATTCAGTAATGAACACAAGAGATCAGGCTGTAAAAATGTGTATTGTATCCTTAGTACTAGCTAACAAATCATGCACACCAGTATGCCAAAGCCAGTATTTGAAATAACTGACTTGTGTCGATAAAATTTTTGTTCTGCTGCAGATCCCTTATTTATCCATTTTTAATCCGAGGAGGTAAAGCAACACCATTTGCCTCTTTTGCCCTGGCCTTTGTTTTCTGCATCTATAATGGCTACATGCAGATCAGATACCTGAGCCATTACGCAGAGTACCCTGCAAACTGGGTTACACATCCATGCTGCATCGCAGGTAAGTGTTCTGTGTACCCCGCTTTCTACAAGGGGAAATATACATTGTTTTATTCACAATGAGTTCTCAGCTGTTGGCATTAAAACATTTTAAACATAGTTCACAAGGAGAAGAGAGACTGCTGTGGTGTTCGAAAGTGGTACCCTCAAAGAAGAATACTCAAATTAAATCAAAATGTGCTGAAACTAATCAAGTAAAAACGTAATTGGTTAATAAACTATTCAAAGAATAAGTGACCGTGTGTTTTAAATAGTGTTTAGTGTGTGCAGATTAGTGTAAAACATTATAACAGATGAAAAATTTTAGTTAACTAGGGAGGAACAGATGCGCAGTCAGGATAACATCCCTACCTCTTGCCATCTATCCCAGGTCATCCCTTCTACCCCTTGTTCCTTCCCCACGCCTTCTTTCTCCATTTAAAAAAATTAAAATGACAAGACTTTGCTTAAAAACATGGCCGCCATTCAAACTCTTTTGTCCCTCATCAGTTTTGTGAGAGTCAGAGTGCTCAGCAGTTTTTCTTGGCTCCCTCTGCTGTTCAAGCTAACGCAGGAAACTGTCAATTTAGAGAAGATGTTTTTCCACTGTTCCTGCCCCTTTACTCCTCTTACAATTCCTATCAACCATGGCATGTGCAGCAGATAAAAACGAGTGTAACAAAATATAAAAATGGACAAGTAGAAGGAAGCTACAGTTTTAAAGAAGAAATGTGAAAGAAGTTCCTCTAAAAAATAAAAGAAGAAATGCATTTTTACTAAATTTATTTTTAAAACTTGACTATCTCCTGTTATTAGGGCTGGGTGATATGGCCAAAAATGTTATGACAATAAAAAAATCAGTCAATATCAATACTTATTACGATATATGTCAAATCATTATTTCTTTCAAGTTGAAAGGCAGATTTCTGCTCCTGAGTGAAAGTTGAAGAAACCAGACGGTGGTTTTAAAGTATACTTTATGGTCAGAACATGCCAAACACTTGCCAAACAGTGGATCACTTCACAAAACATTCAAAAACATAAAAATATGTTGAGTAAAATTAAATAAAGTCTAAGTGCTGATTTGTTCTTGATTCAAATGAATTAAATTAAACATTTATTGAACATTTGTTATATTCATATCGAGGAAAAATAGATTGCAATAATTATTGACGTTTTATTGCCCAGCTGTAACTGGTATATACAGTAAATCCATTATGGACTGTCTGACAAGTAGTGATAGTGTTTAAATGGGGAAACATGCGGCCTATGCCAAATATGTTGAATTACCAATATTATGACTCTCTTGCCAACTGTTTTGTTTTAAATCAAAGAGAAAATCTGGGATGTGTGCAGCAATTCAGAGGTCTGGAAGCAGGCTGATATAATGTGATTTATAGTTCTAATTAATTAGCCCAGTTTTTCCACAGTCCAGCCCATAAGTCCAGAAACTGTACCAGGTCATACTGTAATTAATAAGGAAAATAATGTCAGAAGCGACGGAACACAATGTTTGAAATAATGTTTGCCTGTTTAATTTTTAATGTGAATGGTTCATGATATAGATTTTAGGCCATAGTCCTCACATGACCTACAAAACAGATACTTAATGTTTTTAAAAAAAGATCATATCACCGTATTCATGTGGTGTGGCATGTAAGATTTCAAGTTTATTTTAAGCATCATAGGTCACAGCAGCAACAATGCTGGTGAATACTGAATGAATACTGTGGAAACATGCTCTGACTTTTATATTAATGTTCAACATTTGGCAAATACTTTTGCTCTCTTTCTGAGCTCTGGATGAGAAAACTGAGCTCAGACCAAGCTCGTGTCAGCGCATAAAGTGTGGCGCTGGAGCCGGGAGGCGATTAGTTGAGATTAGCACAAAGATTGAAATCAGAGGGAAGCGGCTGACGACTGCACAGAAACGAGAGTGGGATTGATTAGCTCCTCTCACTCTTGGAAAGAAAGCAAAAGAAGGATTTTTTTCCCCAAAAAAACGTTTGAAGTATTTCTTTAAAAACACCAGTTGGCTGACTGGCTTTTGGTCAGTAAAATGTGGTGCTAAAGCGTTTTGGTTGGTTCGTCTCCAGGGTCTGTACTGTGGTTGGTCGGTTGGCTGGTGAATGTGCACTCTGACCACATCCTAAGGAACCTGAGAAAGCCCGGAGAGACTGGTTACAAGATTCCCACAGGTAAGGGCTTTAGACATGAAACACTGGGCTGAATTATTTCTCTCACCACAGAACAAGTCTTATACTCCTATTACAGTACATCTAATGTTTCAACTTAGGATGCGAAGTATACATGTACCGTGTTTCTATATGCTTTTACTCCACTACACTATTGTACATTTATTTTGGTTCATTTACTGTAAACTTAAACACTTAAATTCTTTATATTGACTGCAACAAAGTGAATGGGATCATTCTTGCCTTAACCTTTCCTGTTAAAGGCACGTTTGACATTGTGGTGCTACTTGTACTTCAGAGTTTGAATCCTTTTTCCAGCACTGCTGTGGGGTGACAAGAAAGTCAAGAAAGCAGTAATCACATCGTAGCACAGAAATTTGTGGTCTCTGTACACAGCGCTACATGCTAATTTTCCAGTGAGGTCGTGTGATTATACAGAATCACACTGCAAGCAGAATCACAGGTTGTCAGTAGTTATCTTTTCCCCACTGTGAGCCCTGACATTAGTGCTCTAAAAAGGTTCTCGCTGCTTTTGACTCTAATATGGTCCAACTCCGCTTGTGTGTAAGTGACTCATAATACTTGTAGTGTTTGTGTGTGTGTAGTATGGGTTTGCTTGATTTTACTTCTAAATCGCACAGTGTTGATAGTAATCATGTTAGACAGCAATCCTGCCATATACTGGAACACGTACATTATATCTGTATGCGTAGTGACCAGCCTGATTCAGGATTCAGGCTTAATATAGCATTTAGCCTCTTTCATGTTATCATCAACATTACTTTCAGATTTAGTAGTAAATGCTTATTTTTCTGTTAAATAATTCAGCTAGGTGGGATGCAATAATTCCAAAACTAGTTTCAGCACATAAATAATGTATTAAAAGGTAAGTTCATCAATTTGGGTAAAGCCCTTATTTGCTCAGTAGCACCTTCATGTTAGTTCGGTGAAGCTACAGTCAGCAGTTGGTTATCTTAGCTTAGCTATAAACACTGTAAATGCGGAAACAGATAGCCTTTATATCATGATTGTTTAATCTGTACATAAACAACAGGTAAACACAACAAGTTGGGGTTTTACAGAGCGAATCTAACTGTGTGCCCCCCCCATCCCCCCCAAGTTAGAACGGACGGATGTAAGGATAGCACCAATCTACTCATCTTGCTCTCAGCAAGAAAACAAGCAAGCATATTTCCCAAAATATTGAACTGTTCCTTTAAAACAAGGTGTGATAGAGCATATCACTGACTTATCAAGGAAATTAACCTTTCAGAAATCTTGAAACAAGTCAATTAACAATGAAAACAATTCAACAAAGATGAAAGAAGGCTTTGAGGGTAGATATTTGTTTTACAGCGTATGATCTTTACTTTGTGAAAATGGATGCACATTCTGTGAGATGTGACAAGTACAGGAAGGGGGGATGGGTGAACAAGATTTTGGCCCATCTCCAAATACCTTGAGGGCGGTATGTTTTTGGAAAAGCAGAATAAAGTCTACATTGCTGCTTTTTTTTTTTAATTGCATAATTGGTTCAACCGTAAGCTGGATTTTTCCTCTGCTAAATGAATCGGTAATCATAACAAGTTCTCAAAGAGAGTGACTCCCCTGAGTAAGAGCAGAGTCACAACAATAGCACCTTGAGCCTGAACTTGCGGTGAACCTGTTCAAACAATCCATCCCGGACCCCCAAGGAAAATAAAGTGGAGAAGGCGAGGCAGGAGGAAGCTGTGAGCTGTGCTGCTCCAAATGAACTTCCAGGCACGTCTGGAATCCCCGCAGCCAAGAATCTGCCATTTTCACATAGAGGGTAGCAACACTACACACAGCTTGCATTCAAACAGCAAGTGCTCAGCCATCTATGGTCAGTATGCAGCCAGTTGTGTGGATGCCCTTTTTAGCACCGTGCAGGCTCGAAATTACATTGAGATTGATGCTAGCTAAGTGTTGAAATCGTATTTTCTTCCAGAGTGAAATATTTGGGTTGTTTTTTGCTTGAGTGAACGTGTGAAAGGATAAGCATACCTGCCTTAAAATCCTGTGTCTTCCACCCACAGGCGGAATGTTTGAATATGTGTCTGGAGCCAACTTCTTAGGAGAGATAACAGAGTGGGCAGGCTTCGCTCTGGCGGGCCACTCTGTTCACAGTTCAGCTTTTGCCGTCTTTACCACAGTGGTCCTCGCCAGCAGGGCTGTGGCCCACCACAAGTAAGAATAATAAGCCACATGCAAACAGAGTTAGCAGGTTTGCATGGAGTGTATTGAACCCTTTGAAGCAAAGGCTTGTATTAATAGAAGAATATGGCTCTTTTCCCCTCTCTACAGATGGTACCTCGCTAAGTTTGAAGACTACCCTAAAAGTAGAAAGGCCTTGATTCCCTTCTTGTTCTAAAAACACTGTTGGTACTGGAAGCCTGAAAAGGTACTGGTTCTTAAAGCGGCTGAGAAGAACATTCCCATAATCTGTTTTTTCTAATATAGGAGAGCTCTGGTTTAACAGCCTTGAAGATACATATTTATTTATTTTTACTGAGAAAAGAAACACAGGTTGCATGTTTGGAACAGATCTCATTTAGCTGCAAGCAATCAACAGTTAAAAGCCATCATCTTACAAATATTTTTATTGTTACCATTACTTTGGTAATAATGCCCATAGGGTTAACTTCAACAATCATGCAGTGAATGTACTGGAAGTGTGGAGGTTTGCTGGAGAGGCAACATTTAGCACTCCTCCAGAAGAAGTAAGATAGTGAATGTAGCATGCCTCAACAGTAATATAGTGGATTTATAACACACTGCACCAGCAATAAACAGTTTTAAGACTCTACGCTGATCTGCATATCCTCCCAGATGGAACATAAACTTGGAAATGCAAAGCAGACATTTAAAGTTTTTATCCATTCTCAAGAGTTATCTGTTGCAAGTGCATCTTTTTAACATCAACTCGAATTAAATAGAAAAAAGACAGACTTTCAATTAAGTCCAAACCCTTTTCCTGCCTCATTTTGCTCAGGGTGTCATGAGAAAGACTTTTCTACTTACCTCATCATCTCAAACTCCTGGAAGAGAAGCCACTTCAGAACAAAAAGCAACAGCATCCCTGTCCTGTAAAGGCTGAGAGTGTAGCAGGCCTGTCAACAGCTACTGGGCTGCAGGGAAATCAAATGGAGATCAAGCATGGCCCCTCGATAACTCACCCATGCTTGAAATGAGAAGAAGAAAGCGTAGCCATCGCTCCATCAGGGTTTTCTGAGATAGAAGAACTGTTAACGAAAGGAAAGGGGAAAGTATTGAGGAGTATGGGAGACTGGGAGAAAAGATAAGAAAAGGAAACTATGGCAGCGATCTTAACATTACCTTCTATTTTGTAATTGTTTTATAATCACTTTCATCTTAGGTGATCTGCCTTTTTTTCAGCGTGCCTCAAATTAGGTTTATATTGGAAACTAGAACAACTGTCTCATCACATTGGTAACATTTTCCACAACTTAAATTCTTATGCAAGCGTGTTTCCTCCCTTTCCCCCCCTTTCCCAGCGGAGGACATTTTCCAGCAGCGGTGACAGCCAAGGTCACGTCATTATGAATTTGCATTTAAAAGAAATGTATTTTGTCATCATTTTTACACATGGTCTCATCAATAAATAACAGAACCGCTGCGTCTGAGTGTGATGAAAAATGAAGGCTGTGTGTCGCTGAAGGCCATGCCGAGTGACATCCTTCATGGTCGAGGTCCCTGCTGTCTCTGTCTCTTCCAGGCTATTTCCTCTGTGTATCCACGCTTCTTGTAATTGCATCACTATATTACACAGCCAGTATTTACTGAGCCTGCTATCTGACTATAATATCATTCAGTTTCAGGCAGACACAATTGGATTTTCTTTTTATATGCAAAGCAGTTCAATGAACTGGCTTTTAACTGTCTTACTCTGTTCATTCACACACGCTGCAGATACTGCACAAGGAGAACTATTCTGTAATGTTCAATTTACACATGCCCACCTGTAGGAAAGAAAAGCACCAGCAGTGTCGCCACCTGCAGAAGTGTTACAGCGGCAGTGTTTTAGTATTGAAACACCAAATGTTAGCTTTTAAGATTTTGGCATTGAATTTATGAATATTTTTTCTGTTAAACATGTATTTATGTTAGTAAATTGGTTGTTATAGACCATTGGTGACTGGAGAAACAGTCAGCTGATCAGAGCTAACTATGATATTGCTTGAAAAAGTGTAGATCATTATTAAGCAACCATTACAGAACAGTCCAATTACAATGCTGATTTCCTTTTACTCTTTTCTTTTGGGCTCTTGTGGCTTTTTTTTGTGTCTGTCTGTGTCTTTAATTTGTTTCGATTACTAAGGTTTTGCTGGTTTAAAAAGTGCAAAAAGCATGATATGCAAAGAGCGTTTGACTTCAATGACGCTTAACGTGATGCATGGTTGACTTAACACAAGGCATGCTGGTTAGAAATTTTGTCCGACTTTGGCTGGCGCTGAAAAACATCAGCATGTCACATGTTATTAAAACTTTGTGGGAGAATGATGGCTCCAGTTTTCTGAATATAGCGACCACAGTTGCTTTTCTCTGGCTGCATCAAGGTGGACTATGGTTGGAACCACCTTTTGCCTGATCTCAGTCATTGTCCTAAACTCACACACTCTACGGGAAGTAGAATGTGTCCGACTTGACGGCAGTGTTTTTATACACCACCCCTGCAGTTGTCTGCAGCTCACGTTTGACGATCAAGTTGGCAGAAGTCAGCCACAGTTACCTTATGTTTTTCCTCACCTGTAGATGGCACATATCAGCATGTCTACATCTTCTAAACTCCTGATGTTGCATCTCTTGCCTGGAGGTGGCGCAGGTGGACTGGAACTGCAGGTCCAGATTTGCAGCTCCACTCTGCAGCTGGATGACAATCACTGTACATAAGTACACAGTGAGGTTGACACACCATAGGCAATGTGTTCATGTGTAAAAATGTGAAATAGCTGTTGACATTTAAGGGTGTAAATGCAGCAGTGCACTAATGTGGGTTAAATATCTGGAACATGCTGCAGCCTCATTTTCATTCAAGCCACACGCAGTCTCAGCTACGTTCTGCGTCCTTAATATTATCTACCATTACTGTTAAGCCTGAGAGCATACTGTTGACTTCTCCATCCATGTCTCTGTTTAAATGTGTGTGCGGATGTGTGTTTGGCATCCATCAGATGGATGGTCCAGATGCCACTAATGTGTCTATCTCATAAAAACTGACAATGAGGCAAACCAGCCTTGAAATCACACTCACACGTGCACTGGCACGCATTCAGCATTGGCGTTTGGCTTGAGCTGAGACTGTGACATGAGGGAATAGCCTATTCAATCTGGTGTGTCATGACGCTGTGCAGTGCACACAGTGCACTGAAACGACTGTGTTTCATACAGTGTATGATAGGAGATAGAAAGAAGAGCTGTGATTTGTACAAGACGTACAGTGGGAGTGAGCAGCTGTGTGTATGCCTGAGTGTGTTATACAGAGAGCTACATATCCTAGCTGGCACATAGTTTGCTCTGGGGGGTTTTCCTTGACTGTGTCACATGCTGCATGTGAGTACCAGGGGTTGGGGGTGGGCATTATGCAAGACGCTCTCTTTCTCACTCTCTTTTACATGCATATGCATACCAGAAGGTGCTGGATATACCTGATCCAGCCTTCCTCCGCTCCATCATAGAGCTTAATGGGCTGGGAGATGACTGTTACTGGGGCCGGGTGGCGTATGGAGCCTGGAATGATAAACACCACCTGCTGTGTATTGCCCCTTGAAAATGAGCATTTAGTATTCAAGGGGTATGCAATGTACATCTGAAATAATAAACACAACAAGAAGGGAGCTCCATTTACACTTGGGCAGTGAAACACTACCCTGTGGAATGTAGTGTTAGTTTTCTGCAGTTTGTATGTATGTGAGCAGCATTTCAAGGGTCAGATGTTGTGATGATAGCCCCCAGCAGTATTTGACATGCCAGCTGACATCACAGTATGGTCCTCCTCTCTGTCTAATGTTTTATGTAAATTGTATTGTATAGTTGTGTTGCTCTTTTTTTTCTCCTTTTTAAGGGTTTTTAATGTTTACAGTGTTTTTCTTTTCTGTCAGAGCTTTCCTAAAAAGAGGCAAATGATGATGTGGATCTGGGTTAAATCCACATCTTTGCAAATATGTGTAGGCTAACATTCTTTTTTATTTCAGCTTAAATATGTGCCATTACTTAAAAACAGCTGCCCGGAGCAAGGATGTTAACAGTGCTTCTCGCTAGATTCAGCCACAGTCTTGTCTAATATCGATGGGGGATCCCCTATGAACCAACCCTCGACCCGTCCCCCCACCCAGTGCTGATGGCCGGGAGGTGGAGATATAGTGTGAAGGACCTCTGGGGCCCTGCTTCGACAGTCACTGGACCACAGGACCCGCATTAATTTTTGCCATTTTACAGCGAACTTCATGTGTTGTTCAATTAAATATTTATCTAATAAAAATTCAAATATTTGTTCTGTGCAATTCATCAACCGGCCGGAGTGACGAAGGAGTGGGCGGGTGGGGGGCGCAGTCATCCTTTAAGAGATCCTGCGTAGAGCGCATGCGCGTGGATTTGAAGTGAATACGCCATATTGAATTCCCGTAGGAATCGGCTAGCATTTTTTCCAGCTAGCGGCGTAACGGGGCCACTTTATCAATGGTTCTTATTCGGTTTAATGTTTAAATACTTTTCTTTTCGTAACCCCCGACATCGTAGTGACCTTTGAAAGGTCCAGGAAGCGGCGCAGATTCACAACGGGATCGCTAAGTGTTAGTTAGATACTTGTAACGTTAGGGGGGGTTACCGGAGAAAGAAGTTGAATGGATCCGAGGGTAGCTTGGATTCAGCCCGAACAGAAAGGACCTGCGAACGCCTTATGGATGCACGTCTGGGAGACCTCTCAGGGAGTACGGACATTCTCCGCTCAGCTCCACAATCAAAACCACAACCAGTGCGTGAATTACGCCGCGTTGGATGTATTTAAAAATGTGGCGACCGCGGTGGCATCGAGCAAGAGCGTTTGCAGCAGCAACGGGAACGTTAACGTTGCTGCCAGTTTGAGCAACGGCAGCAGCCATCATAGCATCATGAACGGCACTGCGATTTCCTCACTGGCGATAGCGCTGTCCAACGGGAACGTACATAACTCCTTCACCACGGCAAACACCGCTGAACCAGGTGAGGGGAAAACCCTACCCAAGAAGACGGGCTCTGTGTCCTCCTCATCGTCGTCCTCACAGGAATCCGGGACGGACAGCCCCCCGTCCATCTGCTCACATGAGAGGACTATGGGTGGAAATGTAACGGGGAACATAAATAAAAATGTCGGGGGTGCCAATCTACTCTTCAGCGCGATCGACAGCATGGACAATAATGTCAACCTTTACCACCACCACCATCACCGTCACCTACACGAGCACCCGCCTTTCAGTTTAACGTTACAGCAGGTTTGCGTGAAAGGCCATCAGGTTCACCCCTCTGGACCTGTAAATCACACACACAGTCACCACCCGGGCCGAAGGAAAAGTGACAACAAAGCGAGCACTTATGGGATGAATTACCTGCTTTCAAACTGCAGTAATGGGAATTACGCGAGCACTTGGACGCCCTGGAAGACGAGGAAGTACAACCCAGGGGTCCTCGGGTGAGTGAGCTGAATACTATTGCTTTAGGATTTAAACGTTTGTCTTTACGTCAGCTGCAGGTTTTAATGCTTCAAGGCCGTTGTTATTTTGTGCATACGTGTGTGTGTGTCAAGTATTATGGTACATTCAACGCGATGTAGCTGTTCGTTTCATTCGCAGTTAACGTTACATACGACAGTGCACCCAGCGTTGCAGTGTGATCTGGAGTTGGGCAGTTTGCTGGAGAGCTGAAAAGCTGCCGTTAGATTGGTGCGTAAAGACAGCGACAGTCGGCAATTACAAGACCGGAAGTGCTGTGATTTGTACACCGAGATATGAACTGGGCCATTTAAAAAAAAATACCAATTTCCAAAAAATTATTGAAGTACGATTTAAACGTTACATTTGGGTAACGTGTATACTAATATAGTTAAGCACATCATTAAACTTTATTGAGTAGTGGGTTTTTTTTCTAAGGGTTATTTATTTAGAAGGCTGTGACCGGATGTGTTTGTCCGTTAGCCTGACCGAGGAGCCTGTAGCTAACGTAGCTAACAGTTTACCCTTTTCCTCCACATTAAAGTTGGGGAACGAGCTATATGAAAGCAAAATGAATACACTTTACCCGTCAATTAAATCAAGTTAAGTAAAATAAGAAATTAAGGTGAAACTCTGCCGCTAAATGGCAAACAGAAAATACCGTACTAGCTACAACTTGCCCAGGTCTTGGCTAACGAGTTTGAATAACATTTAACTTGTGTAATGTTGGGTGAAGTAACTGAGTTGCTCATTCACCCTTGGGCAATCTCCAATGTGCCTGAACTATTCTTACTTGCTTGATCATAAAAATAATCAGTCTGCTTACAGTGCATTTCATTACACTGATACAAGTGAGGTAAAACTATTCATCACATTCACTTCTTCTGTAAATTACTTCATTGTATTCAGTTCTGGATTATTAGCCTTTAAACCCAAGTTATTCTGGGTGCAGTCACAGTTAACTCTCTTTTTCCAGGTTATTCTTTGGAGAGCTTTCTATCAGTGTGACAGACAGGGGTGGGACTTAATGTAACTTACTATGTCCTATTGATAAACTTGACCAATGTAGTAATTTATGTGAACACAGTTTGAGTACAACTTATCTTCTGGAGTATAAATATCACTTTTTTGGTGTTTATGAATGTTTAGTAGGTGTTGTTGCTGAAGCTGATGATACACGGAGCAAGTTTTAGAGCAAACGTGCTGCCGTAAGTGGTAATGAGTAAAGATTACTACCGTAATCCCCCTCCCCCACCACTCCACCACCCGCCCCGCACCGCCGCTATCCGTTCAAAACATAGTCGGACTTGGCCTCCAGCAACATTGCTCTAAAAGTTGCCCCGTGCATCGTCAGCTTCACTATATTGTGATTTTATTTTTATTTTATTTTTAAACTGTAGTTATGTTGCTCTGACAGAAGCCGTGTTCTAAAACGTAGGACTAAGGATCTTCCAGATGTGTTGCAGGAACTTGTGATATTTGTAATGGCGGGTAGCACCCATCTGGGAATTTTCTGTACAATAAATCTGCATTTGTCATGAAAGCACTTCCGCATGCTTAATACTATGGTTCCTAGTTATCCTTACTCTGCTTTAAATGAAAATTTAGATGTTGATCAAAGTTTTGCCCTGTAAACCGTTCTTAATATTTTCCTGTGTGTTTGTCTATCTACAAGTTTCCTAATGCAAGTTTTGGCCTGTGCGTGGACTAATCTTGCAGTCATTTGCCTTCAGGGGTGTCCTTTGAAGTCCCACATACAGGGATCTGCACTCCAAATTGAAACTGTGTAGTTATTCTGCATTGATATTGTGATGATCAGAGACTGGGTTTGAGTTGATAGAAAACTGTATGTGTGTGGCTGTAAAAACACTGATTCCACAGTCTGATACATGGCTGTCATAGAGCAGGGTGGTCATAGACTGCACCAGTGAACACCATTGATTACTGGGCTCTAAAGTTGTTAAAGAGGTAATGTTTGACTCTAAACTGTTTGTGACTGCAGTAGCAGTTCTTATTTTGAAGGAGGGGGTGCAACAATAGCCATGCCCTGTGTCAGCGGTGGACTATTTGCATGATACAGCCTAACCTGACCAGCTTGCTGGCAGAGTGTTTTCACCAAATAGTGTGCACATGGGCTGACTGCATTTCCTCCAGGGCTCTGGTAATTGATTGTGTCAGTCTCCCTGTTCTGTATTTCACACTGACATCATGGCATGCATTCCTAGAAAAATGAATGGCCACAGGGTTGCACTGTTCAGAGGCATTTGACTGGTTAGAAATCTTTACATTAAATGCGCCCCTCTATTGCCAAACACAAAACTAAGTATTTATTGTGGATTTGTCGTGTCTCGTTCATACTCAATCCATTTAACAAGTACAGTTTCAGCATCAATACTGATCCAGTGTGTTGCAATGCATCAAAAAAATGCATCAAAAAAAAATAAATAAATAAATACTGCAGAAGCTAACAAAACAGTAACCACCCAGTTAAGTAAAGTAGATCATACTGTACCGTTGCTTTGCTTTCCCGGCTCTGGCATGATGGGGGTTAAACAGAAAAGTGATAAGAAGGAAGCATATCTTGGGCCATCTGGAAAGGTTATTTTTTTTTCTCCAAAATGTAAGCCAAATCTGGTATGTGTGTAAGTCAGTTTTGAGAAGATATCCTCATTTGATTGTTACTTGTTTTGCAGTAAGAAATACTAAAAAAAAAATAATAATAATTTAAAAAACTTACTCACATCATGCACAGTTCAGTCACTTAATCCAGGTTTCTCACTGGTCTGTGTGTAGGATAATTGTTAATGTAGTGAGAATAACCCTTATCTGTCCCTGTCCTTTCCATCCAGACTCCACGAGGAGGTGATAGACTTCTACCACTTCATGTCTCCTCGGCCAGAGGAAGCAGCTATGAGGAAGGAGGTGGTGAACCGGATAGAGATGATCATCAAGGAGCTGTGGCCCACTGCAGATGTAAGATGCACACACATGCCTCTTGTTTATTTGGATCAATTTCCCCACTTTCAGATTCTTAATATCTTAGAGAGAAGTCTCTTAAATCATGCAATCTACCCTTGGAGGAGGAATTATTGGCACACGAACAAACTGTGATCTCAGATTGCTCATAAATCTTTGTTGAGATACTGTGGTTATTTTTAAGACGAGGCAGTGTTTGTACAAAAAAACACCAACTTATTGTATATTTATTTACTATTTTCAATTCTCTAACTACTTTGCGTGAGTTGAGGTAGATGTGTCAGAATTTGCAAAACAGTATTGAATTGCTGAGTCATAATTTATGATTAGTTATCTTAATTCTGCCTAAAATGTAGGTGAGTTTGTCTGGAGGGAAACACTTTTCTCTATAGCTGCTTGGGAGTCTTTCAAATTTAAAGGAAAAGTGTGGGCGATTATACTTATTTGCTCTCTTAAAGAGTTAGATGAAACCACATATGTTTGTACATTAAGCCGCTAAAAGACGGCTAACTTAGCTTAGCACAAAGACTGGAAACAGGAGCTAACAGCTAGCCAACAGAAGTGACCATATTTGGGCAAGAGGGTGGAGCTAGCTAGCTTGGTTAGTAAGGTGCTGCCGATATTCAAGGCACAAAACAAAATGTACTAATGGTAAAAAATTCTACAACTGCCTTCTTAAATTTCTTTAATACAAACAAACAAACAAAGAAAAATATATTTTTAGGTTACCAAAATGACTTTACTTTTCATGCAAGTGTAAGAACAACAATTTGCTGTTTTACACAGGGGGTTATGTACCGTAGTACCAGTAACTTCCTAGAGTCTCTGGTTACCTAGCAACTGATCCTGACCCAGAAATAGTTTGGCACACATTGTCCTTCATAGGAATAAAAAAAAAATTGTCTGTTAGTAATTGAGCTGCCACTTAATAAAATACAATGAAAGTTGCACATTGGCGGACCCAAACACTGTATTCTGACACAAGTACTGCTACTAGTTTGTAACACATTATTTATCAACGTTTTTTTTTTGTTTGCTTTTTTTAAGCTAAGCAGCAAGTGCATTATCCTGATGCTAATTATAGATGCCATAGACAAAATGAACAGGTCACAGAGCTGAGTTGCAAAAAGTAATATAATCAAAAGTAATAATAAGTCATTCTGTTTTAAAAATGTTCATTCAAAAGTGCACTCACTTTTAATGTGCGGAAATGGCGATGGAGGATCCTGCAGCTGGTTGAGTATTGCAGCGATGTAGGATTGATGCAATGCCCCTCTCATTACTTACTCATGTAAAACATGCGCGGTGGTGATTTGTTGTCTGCCAGTTACCCCCTCTTCCACTGTGAGCCAGATTGTCAGGTAAATGGATCAAGCCCCTGATTTGTACCAGCCTCCCTTTTCATTTCAACCTATTAATTCTGGCCTGTCTTTGTGCCATTGCCTTGTCGTATTTACCAGGCGGAAAAGGGAAAGAACTCCACTCTGCTTCCTTTTGGAGAGCTTTTACTTGCAGCCCCTAATCACAGCATTTCCCCCCTAGCTATTGTATATTCTGCTATTTGGCAGCTTAGTCGGCAGCGTCTCAGGAGTGGAACCGGAAATACCTAGTTCCCCCGATAGTTTGCAAGCATTTGAATTGGAAATATACATCATCAACATAAATGAGCTGTCCAACACAGCATAGAACACGATTGGTACTGTCAAAAGCATGTAGCCAAAGTCGTTATAGTTATATGATAGGAGTGTGTTTGTTAGTTGTTTTTTTTTTACTATCTGTCATCTGCCACCCAGAAAGGCTTCAGTGCTCCTCGCCAAGTCTTTGGAACTCTGGAGGGATGAACACTGTTCCTCATACACTGAACAAAATAAAAAATGCAACACTTTTGTTTTTGCCCCCATTCATCATGAGCTGGACTCAAAGATTTAAGACTTTCTCTATGTACACAAAAGGCTTATTTCTCTCAAATATTGTTCACAAATCTGTCAATCTGTGTCAGTGTGCACTTCTCCTTTGCACACACCTTCCATAGGCGTGAAATTGGGTTAAGAGCTGCTGATTGTAAAGACTATCTTTTTTTCTTTTCTCCCACCAAACCATTCAGCAACCCCTGGTGCATGGAAGCATCTGCATTTGATATGTCTCTCCATTCTTTTATTCAGTTATTTTTTTATTTTAATATTTCTCCTGTCTGTACATTATGCTGTCTTTATGGGATGAACAGTTTTTGGTCGTTGTTTTCACATTTTTCTTTTTTCCAGGTCCAAATATTTGGCAGCTTCAGCACAGGGCTGTACCTTCCAACAAGGTAAGACCCTAGCATTTATGACTTAAAGAAAACTCCAACTGTTTTTTTTTTTTGTTTTTTGTTTTTTTTAATACCTGGTGTGTTTCTCTGGCCAGCAGTTTAATGTCTTGACTGTTTCTTGCCCTCAGTGACATTGACCTGGTGGTGTTTGGGAAGTGGGAGCGCCCCCCGCTGCAGGAGCTGGAACAAGCTCTTCGCAAGCATAACGTGGCAGAACCTTTTTCCATCAAAGTGCTGGACAAGGCTACAGTGAGTAGTATGATATTAAATGACGATTTATTCTTCCATGTACACTGATGCAATTATTAATGATCCAGCACAATGGAATTGTTCTGCGGTTAATTTCATTCTTCCTGAAAGTTTTATTCTTCACAGTAAGTAATAAGTTATTACATCCCCAGTAAATAAGAAACCAGTCATATTAAACCCGGCCAAATCACAATTTGGCAGCACTTTTTACATTCCTAGAAAAGTTCTTCTGGACTTAAAACAGATATGTGGAAGAATAAAGCTTTGGCTCCTTCACTCTTTTATGTCCATGGAGGTATGAGGGTGGGCGGAAGGCACTAATTGAGTGTCTTCTTTTCATCTGTCATCTGTTTCCATGGTAGGTGGCGCACACACGTTTTTCCTGTTCAACTGTAAATATACAGTTTATTGTTCACTGCCCACTATAATATTACAACAGCAGCAGATACTTCAGCTGTAGTTCACCCAACATTAAAATTGACAACTCACCCTCAGGACAGTGATATTCCTCTGTTTATAGCTCTGTTCTTTTGTAGTTTTTTCCTCCTATCGTGTCGAAGTTAAATCATTATTATGCTGCAAAAAAATGCATATCATGCCTCAAGGCCATGTAACGTGGATACTTGCCTCGGAAGTGTTCATAGTTACCATAGCACTGTGGGACTGTATTTTATGAGCGTGCGCACTCATCCTGTGGGGTGTGCACACCCCGATGACTGTAATGAAAAATGTGCTAATACATGTCACTTTTTCTCCCCACAGGTGCCGATTATCAAGCTGACAGACCAGGAGACTGAGGTGAAGGTGGACATCAGTTTCAATGTGGAGACTGGTGTCAAGGCGGCATGCTTCATTAAAGATTATGTTAAGGTGAGATCTACCTGTCGCCATGGTGAAATTGATGTCAGCAATAAGTTTACGGGTACACTATCTTAGCGTTGTTTTATTTAATCATGGAATTAGACCAGAAGGCATCAAATGGCACAGTGAACTCCCTTTGCAAGTCTAAATGACATCCAGCCACAACGCACATTACAAGCAATACATAGAGATGGAGGGAGAGAGCAGGAGAAGGTCATGTAGGCATATTTAAATAAAAACCACCAGAGGAGTCCCATAATTACCATTTTACAGTGGGGTCTAAATACAGAACTTTGGAAATTCCCTCCCTGAATCAGGCAACACAGCAGTTTAAAGCATTACTTTTTACTTCACTCTAATCTTGTATTGGCTCGTCTCATTTCCAAAGTGAAGCTGGATCGGACCCCAGCAACCATGCTCAGTATAATCTCCACTTAACTCAAACTGAGTCTGTGTGTTGCTGAAAACCTTGTTGCCAAATGTGCTCGGCGGAGGTGAAATCCACCCCGTGGCTCTGGCGAGCTTTAGTCACAGTTGTAGTAGTTAATGCAGAGAGAAGAATTCCAGGTGCTGAGTTTCCACCATGCTGTCAGGTTTTGGCTTTTGTCCCTTTTTGTTGTTGCATTTATGCACGTTGCAACAGTTCCACGGGAACACGTGTTACGGCTTGAAAGTTAACAACCACGCTCGCCATCAATGCAGCGATAGCTGATGATGTTGATATGTGGGTATGACAGGCTCCAGTGCCGGCTTGTCATTGAGAGGTCACCTCAAAGTAATCCTTATATGTCAGGTTCCTATGCAGCCAGTTGGAGCAGCGTACCTCCCAGCCGTGTTCTCCCTTCTTAAAAGCATATTTGAAAAGTCAACCAAGCTCTGCTGCTCCACTAGCAGAGATATGCACACACATACTGCCTGGAGGTTATGCTTCCTTTTCAATTGGAAAATGAACATTTGTAATTCCCATTCCAATGCCCTCTGGGTTTCTAGCACATTATCATCTCACAGGCGCTGGGTAGCATCACCTTCTCAGAAGGAAGCTAGAAAGAGTGTGTATGAGTATGTAGGTACGGGGGGTAACGATTACGTAGCATCAACAACTAATTATTTTTCAGCTGCCTGAACTGACGACAACAAAAAAACCGATTTGAATCATTATGGCTTCATCAGTAACTGTGTCTTCAGCAAGGGGTTTACACTGGTTTGGCAGCATCATAGCTTCCTAATAGAAAGAGTACGCAATAGTGTATCAAAGTTATTGCGGAAACATGACTAATATTTGAAAATACCTCCGGCAACACAGTATTTCCACTCTGACGCCTCAGTTAGTGTGTGTTTGTTTGACCAGAAACTGTCACAGAATCTATTGCTAGATGTATTTGCATGGGTTGCACAGCTTGTGCATTGTAATCTATATGGTTACACAAGATTGCCAAAAAGTTAGAAAATGTAATTGACTCAAATTCTAAAGGAAACAGCAATTGCTCTTGGATCAAGTCGCCAGTATATATTCCTATTTCTAGCAGGTAATTTCTTATTTCATCATTTTAATATCATTTCATTTTCTTATTTTAGTGTTTATTCGCTCCTTTAATCCACTCACCTTGCTTTTCCCTTCAGTTGTCTTTTCCCCACTTGTACACACCTACACCTCTGATCTCTTTCTGCAGACACACCTGCTTGCCCCGCCTCTCTCTGTCTCTCTCTCCTCTGCTGACATTCTGACCATCAGCAGTACGTTTTATAAAGTCACTGAAAAGACACAGAACTCGTCTTTTGGATTTTTCCTGTTCCATTTTCACAGCAGCCGGTGCACCGCATGTGGAGGAGGCTTGTTAATGACGTACTCGTATTGAAACCAGCATGGTACCAAATGACACCTGCCCTGGTGTGTTCACTGTTGCTTTACCTGGTCCGTTCTGTAAAATATATACCATGTCCGCATCTTGTAACGTAATATCAGATAACATCTCTTTCTGTGTTTCTCTGCAAAATGCTAAAATGGGTTGCCAAACTTTGTCGGCCATTAATGTACCTGGTTAGCACGCCAAAGTAAAGTCTATATGTGGGAAACACTGGAATTATATGCGCTCTTCCTTTTGATCTGTAACTCATGAACTCTAACATCTCCAGAAATCCTCACTGCTCCTCAGTGGAACATGCAACCGGAGTCAAATTTGAATTTGTTTTGTTTTTCTTTGAGGATTCTGTAATTCACCCACTTCCTGTTACCTAATCCCCATTTGACTGAATCAATCATCTCATCTCTCACTTCTTCCTCTTTCAGATGTATCCGGTTCTGCCTTACCTGATCTTTGTGCTGAAGCAGTTTCTGCTGCAGAGAGATCTAAACGAAGTCTTCACCGGGGGGATCAGCTCTTACAGCCTCATCCTCATGGTCATCAGCTTCCTACAGGTACAGTAAGACACACATAAGATAAAAGTCATAGTGCAGGATGTGTTTGCAGTCACAATTTGGAAGCAATTTAGGTATCGGCAGTGCTTATGAAAGTAAAAGTCCTCATAAGAGCAGTAGCAGTATGGTAGTATTTTAGTGTTTCTTAAGGTAGTAATACAACTACTGATAGGCGTAGCATTAACAGGAGTCATAGTAGAATTAGTATTGGTAAAGCATTTCCCACAGTGTTGTACACACATCAGTGGTAAATGCCTAGTAATACTTGTTTTAAATGCATACTAATTCAGTCCTTGCTCTTCAGCTCCATCCTCGTATTGATGCCAGAAACCCCAATGAGAACTTGGGTGTGTTGCTGATCGAGTTCTTTGAGTTGTATGGCCGCCATTTCAACTACTTGAAAACAGGGATTCGCATAAAAAATGGAGGAGCGTACATTGCCAAAGAGGAGATTATGAAGGCCATGACAAATGGATACAGGCCATCCATGCTCTGCATAGAGGACCCACTGCTTCCAGGTGTGTGTTTCACAGGTTCACAAGGATGACTGAGAACAAAAAATTGTAGTTTTCAGAGCAGAAATGCATCTATTATAGAAGTTATAAGGCAGTCAAGACAAGGTTTTGTGGAATGGCCAACCAAACTAAATTCACTGAGGCATACTTGACC